CGAATAATGCATGAAATCAATTGGAAAGTATGTAATCGAGTCAAAACAATCATAAAAGATCAAAATCAAATAATTGAATCAACACAATGAATTGAATAAAAATCCTAACAATTTGATGAAATTGAACTTAGAGAATTGAGAAATCTTTGGGACTCAATGGGTGAATGGAACCCATTATCGAAATCCTACATACATTGATGATCAAAGCCCAAAAGTGATGGAGAAATAGAAAACTAGAAGCTTTAAACCCTAACTTCCTTCTTGAACTTGAAAGAGAATTGGAGAAGTTGAATGTAGATGGGATTTGGGAATTTGAGTATGTGTGGGTTTTTGGGTGGAATTAGGAATAGAATGGTAGTTATAGGACTTAGAATCAAGGTCAAAACGACATAATATAGGTATTTAATGCATAGGAAAAGACTCAAATACTCTTAAGAAATAATTGTCGGACAGTCCTACAGGTAGGACGTACGGTCCGTAGAACTTTCTACAGCTTGTACTGGTTAACCGTAGAACAACCTTCAGAAACCCAAAACTTCAATCATTTCTCATGAGACATTTCTATGGTCTATTATCCATTCTACGAATTCATAGATCACAAGTTCATGTCCAAAATTCTACAAAGCCTGAATCACTTCTATGAAACCATCCTACGGCCTGTCAAACTTCCTATAGCTCGTCCTGGCTACTCGTAAGTCAAACTTCATAAACTTAAATTTTCCAAAACCTCAACTCAACCCTACAACTTTCCTCCTATGGACCATAAGACTTCCTACGATCCATAGATAGGATTCGTAGTCATTGCCTCAGTGCCAAAATTCCGAATCTTTCTTTTTCTTTCAACTTTCCAATTTCGAAGGTGTTACATGCAATATGAGTGAAAGGATATGTGTTAAAAGTTCACGACTAGTTAGACAAAGTACTTAAAGTGCACCATTATATATATATATATATAAAGATAATTTGTGGTCGTGGTGGGACAGATGAGATCTCTAATTGAACTAATTGGCTTTGTAAAGAATCTATAAGATGTGAACATATTCGTCTTTTAAATATGAATTTGTGAAGCGTAGAATTCAATAAGGGAGAATTGTTTTCTATAAGATTTTCTTCATTTCTTGGATAATTATCGGAAAAAAAGTTAATTGTCTATGTTGTAGCTAGTATATATTAGTTTTAAACATGTAGTTTCTTACTTTTGATATTTGTTATCATTTATTGTCTATTGTATTTTAATTATAACATTATTTTACTGCTCTTTTGAATCTATGTAGTATGTATTATGCTTTTCTTATTAATTGACATATTTTCTTTATTGTTGTTTTCCTTTTTCATAAATACTTCGATTTGAAGCACCTGAGCACATAGGGCCTTTGAGAAATATATATATAGTACTCTCTCTACCTTCACAATGTATGGGTTATATTATAAGATTCATATTCTATTTGTTGCACGGGATGTGTTATTATGTTGTTGCTAACTGTTTAATATGAACAAAAGAAAAATACTACTTCTATCTTATTTATATGGTATAATTTTCGTACAGATTCAAATAAATCCCTTCCTTTAATTAATTACTTTTATCTTCAAAATCAATCATATTAAGTTAACATATAACAACAAACTTTTAATAACAAGTTAAAATACGAGGTAGCCTCTAAAATAAAGTAATAATTCTCATTATTGATAGCGTAAAAAATAATTATTTAGGCATTATAGATATATCATTGTATATGACCTAAATTATTACTATATAATTATTTAGTTGTTTGACTTGAACTCTTTGTTTGAATTTGGATAATATATCATTATATTGTATTCTTTGTGTAAAATACCTCATTGTTACGTGTACTCTCTTTTTTTGACTATACAAACGTGTGAGCATAAACATGTTACTTATTCAATATATATTTAATGTAGAAACAACTACAAGTAGTAACTTAAAAAATTATTCAAAATTTGGTCCCACTTGGGTTGAGATTATTATTTTAAGACAAAAAAATTCTCAAAAGTTAGGAATAGAATGTTTCAAATTTGGTACTGTACTAGAATTGAATTATATTATGTTTCATTTACTGTTCAATTATCTGATACATGTGTTGATCGGTAGTAATTAATTAATATATTATAATAAATAAAGAATAGAGTGATAATTATTTAACAATAATAATTAATATAATTATCGTTATCTTATATTTAACAACAATAATTAATAATCTACTTTATACATAATAGTATTTACTTTGATATAATTTTTAAATATTACATATATTTTTTTCATAATTTTTTATCTTTTAACATATTTTTTCAAGTTTTTTGAGATTTAGAATTTTGAATAGTCCATTGATAGTAATTCTAATAAAACTCAATTCAAAATCAAATTAATACTAATGCTAACAAAAAAAAATCAACACTAAGAATGACAATAATGTTGAATATTTGTTTTTTGAAGTTTTACATTGGTTAGACATTTAAAATACATAACCTAATTTTAATTTTTCTTTAATGTTAAATCATGTCATTACTCCATACTTATTAGGCTTATTTTAGTATGACTTAGTACTTTTAAATTATGATCATTTTTATTATGACTTATTAATTTGCAATATTTATTTTGTGCAATTTCATTATTATTTTTTGTTGAATATTTCAGTGTCATCATTCATCTCATATTTTGTGTTATTTTCTTATGAAACATCTTAGATGGTTGTATTTTGATTGGACTAAAGAAATATTTGGAGCACAAGTTAATTATATATTTGTACGAATACTCTATCAGAAAACGACAAAAAAATTCGAGGTTTATTAATTTTGTTTGACTTATAAATTTAAAAGTTTGACATTAATAATTTAATTAGATATTTAAAACATCTTAACCAATCCAAATCATGTACACGAGCAACGATGGATTTCCCAGGTTAGTATATTGGCAACAATATTGACCAGACAATTATAAATCAAGATGATATAATGGTTATGTTCATGTGGATAAAGTCATAATACTTTTTCTTCCAAAAAATTTATTCTTGCAAAGTTTGTCTTGTATTTTCCATTCAACTTAGAGGAGCTTGAAATTATATACTACTTTATTTCTTATTTTAAAATTTAATTAAAATAAGTAGCTAATGTGCAAATTGCTTTTCCTTTTGGATTTTTCGTTGGAAACAAAAATACTTTATTGACTTTTTGTGTTTTTTCTATCTAAAAAAATAATTTATATTGGATTTTATAAGACGTAATATCTACAGTAGAGTAGTTAAAAAAAGATACTCCATGTAAATTTCTTTAAAGATAAACTAATCGTTTATAAAATAAGAACAAAACAATATTTACGAATGACGTGGCATAGTAATCAATGAAGGTGAAATGAAGTTGCGAGAGATCGATTAATTATTAATGTTCAAATTTTCAAAAGAGATGAAAAAAAAATAATATATATATATATATGTGATTTCTTTTCATCAATTTATTTAATCTTAGGAGAAAAAAAAGTTAATCGATAAATATGTCAGCGAAAATTATAAGTACTTATCTAATAGAATAGTTCTAAACTACCTAAATTACGTAACATTTATAAATCGACAAACATGAGATTAAAAAAAAGAACTAACAGTTTTGTATGTCTATATAATTAAAGGAACATATTACAATTACACTAAAAAGAATAATTATCATGATGTCCTTAATTAGATTAATTAATACATTTCAAACACAACTAATTAAAACACACAAATTTCCAACCAAAATTTCTGACATAGTCTATCGACAATTGGCCGGAATTTACATGAATCCTTATAACGATTTCAAGTTTAATTTATACATCAGAATAACTATAAAAAAATCAAATATTTATAGATATCATATGTGTTTCCACAAAAAGCTACTAATTTTCGATTAATTCATAGATCACGGGTTACACTCCACATCCATCATTATTCCAATGAATATTCCATCAAAAATCTTATATTTCTGTTGCATTTTGATAAAAACGTCCGTTGAAAATTCGCGATTTTTTAATAATGGATTTTATACTGTTGAAAAGTTGATTCATGGCACTTGGACGTATTCAAAGTTTCTAAAGTTTGGTTTGGGTAGCTGAATTTTTTTGACCCCCCCACCCCCACCACACTACCCTATCTCTTTATTTAGTTCTAGACTAATTTGTTTTTCTATACTAATTATTTCTTTTTAATAATTTCTACTTATCTACCTACATGTTTGTTATTGAATATCTTTGTCTAAAAGTAGCTTTTTCTTTCTTTCACCAACCACAATATAATATCTTTCCTCTTTTCACACTTGAATGAAATGCTTCTTTCAAGGAAGGTAAGGTGTGAAAGAGGAATTTAATCTATTGGACTTTGTATTTCTTATCTAAACATGAATATATTTAGTGGGGACGGGATTCTTCTATTTTTCTAATAGAAGATACTAGTTTGAATCTTGAAAATGATAATATTTTTCGACCAATCTTATATGAGACGCATTATGCATATTTGAATTAATTGAATCAATAAGTTTTAAATATCGAATGATGATATATTATAAAAAGGTCATTTGTCTTTAGTGATGAATTCAAAATTATGAGTTTTGATTTGGACGGTGGTTTCTTATTTAGAAGGGAAAATTATGGAGAATGACAAACATTTAGCCTATATAAGGTACTATAGCTACAATTTAAGAAAATTATAATTTGCGACTTCAATTTTCACAATTTTTGTTATTCGCCTGATTTGTATAAATCTAAAATTTGTATAATTCTGCTCATTCAGAATTTTGTATATGCTTACTCTTGCCATTTGTATACGATTTATGAAAAAATCATAATAAATTATCTTGTTTGTATATTGGCAAGAGAAATTTACAAACGGACATCTGAAAAAAATTCTAAATAATGTATATATACAAAAATTTGTATATACTTACCATATTTGTATATTCGCAAGCGAAATA